GAGGAGGCCCTTCTCTCCCAGCCAATCACATCCGCCAGACCACTTCCAAATAAGGTCTCAGCCTCAGGGCCTGGGGGCTAGGCCTTAAACAGTTTTTGGGGGAAGGGACACAAGTCAGTCCCTAACGGTGGAAGTCGAGGGGCTAGACACATAACCCCACTTAGCCCCCCTCACGCGTCTTCTCGTTCTGGAAGTCCTAACAGAACCCCTTTGTAAGAGGCACAGGCAGAGCGTGTGAGACGGCAGAACTCACAAAGGCAATGAAAATGTGCCAGGTACATGTTCTCTCTCCTCCGCTCTCTTCTGTCCGTCTGTCTGTCTGTCTGTCTGACGCCAGGGCCCATCGGACCCTGACGTCTGCTCCACGTGTCTGCCTCTCCTGCCCACCAGCTTCTCAGGCCCCCGTGTTAGGTAGTCAGACAGGGACCAGGTGTCCACTAGGCATGCTCTGAAATTCAGGCTCCGTGCCAGGAAGAGGCAGTACACCTAAGTGGGCGGTACACCTGGGCGGACCCCTCTGTCTTGGGTGGGAACCACTTCGGTCCTTAGCTTTGCTCGAGAAAGAATTCACGCCGAAGCCTGGTTTGTGATCCAAGTGAGTTTTATAAAGGATAGAAGTTCCAGGTTTTACATGGGCCCCCTTGGGGCACTTCACACGAGGCCGGAGGAGACCCGCACACGGCTGGCCGAAGAGCAGCCAGAGGAAAGGAAAGAAGAGGCCACCGCTCAGATGCTGGCTTTGCCAGACCCTTGGCTGGGAGGTGTGGCTGAAAGGCCCGGTTGACCCCATTGGCTGAATGAAGCTCACCTGGCCCAGATGGGGCCCACCCAGGTGCACCACATGCCCAGTGGACACCCTGGTCCCTGTTCTGACTACAAGGCACCCCCACGTCGGAAAGAAGCCGGGAAAGCACCAGCCCCCTGGCTTCCAGGTCCGGTCTCAAGACCGTCCGAGGGGCTGGGTCTCCAGGCCTCAGTTCCAAATTCTGGTGGTGTGGGGGCCACCCTGAGCTGTGAAGCACAAGGTTAGCAGTTTGAATCCACTAGCTGCCCTGAGGGAGGAAGTGAGGCTTCTGCTCCCAGGGAAACCCGCAGGGCAGGGCGGCTCTCGTCTGCCCTGCCAGGCCGATGAGTCAGAACGGACCCAAGGACAGTGAGTGTGTTTGTGTCTGAGGGGGGCCTGTGTTTGGGTCAGCGTCCACCTGCGTTCCCGTCAACTATGGAGGAACACAGGAATGAGGTAAGAGCAGCTGCGCTCAGGGGGGGGGCGGGGTTTCCTGTTTGTTTTCTTCCCTGTGGACTGATGGTAATGAGTGTGGCTGCTGTCTGGTCCCCCTGCAGGAGGCAGACAGTTGCAGGACTGTCCAGCATTCCTGTGGAGAAGGGTTGAGGAAGTTCATGTTTGATGGATTCAGTGGTCGCGAGGGGGTGATGGCAGTGTCATTTTCTAGTGAGGGGGCAGGGGCGAGGGGGGACATGTACGAGTGGGTGTGGGAACAATGACGGTCCTCAGTGAAGGGGCTGGAAGGGCAGGACATGACAGACAGCCCCTGGGTGGCCGGCCTGGCAGAAGCCCAGGGATGCTCCCTGAGGCAGCACACCTACCCAAGGTCAGGAGTCGGCTGAGGCCCGGAGCCAGTTCACGTCTCAGGCTGGGCTGGGCTGTCTTCCCTGGGGCCCCTCTGGAGCAGAGGTCAGCCAGCCCTGCCCCTCAAAACCAGGTGAAGATGATTCGAGGGCCGGAAGAATATTATAACAAACATAATAAAGTCGCCACTACCTGAATACTGTCCTTTCAGTTTTCCCAAGACGATGTCAGAGCCACCTGTACGTGCCAGTTTGCTGAGCCTGGTCCCCAACTCTCCCCCTCATTCAGAACAAAACTGCTCAGTGCGGGGGTGGGGGGGGTGGGGCGCCCCCCGGCAATCAGAAACTCTTCTACTATGGCACCTAATCCAGGATGAAGTGCAGGTGCCGCTTTCTCAGCCCCCACCCTCTTTGGGAAGCATTACCCTGACAAGCTTCTTGCACTCTGGTTTGAGACCCACGTGCTGATGAGTCCAGTCCAAATCAGAGCGACCCTGTGGGACAGGGTCCGGCTGCTCCTGCAGGTGGCCGAGACGGGAACTCTTGTTTTTTTTAAATTAAAGGATCATTTTATTGGGGGCTCTTACAACTCTTATAACCATCCATACACCAGTCGTATCAGGCATATTTTGTACATAGATTGCCATCCTTCTTTCTGACATTTACTTTCTTTTGAGCCCTCCCTCTCCCGACACTGGAACTCTTTATGGGAGCAGAAAACCCCATCTTCTCCACGAGCGGCTGGCGGTTTCGAAGCACTGACTTTGAAGCCAGCTACAGTCGAATGCATAAGCACTGTGCCACCAGGGCTCCTTGTAACCCTAGGTAGGGGTAGCGAAAACGTTGGCAACAGTAAGAGATCTCTGAGCATGCGAGGACCAAGCATTAACTCGAGATCAAGTGCATAATGAGCCTGGGTTTCTGGGGGAGCCTGCTTGCTTGCGCTGCACCGCGGGGCTCAGCAGCCCCAGTTCTCAGCACTGAATGTGCGCGCCTCATCACTGCTGCTCCCGGCTCTGCTCAGGACCCTGTCCCCAGCCCCAGCCTTTCTATTGCAGTTGTGCATGTTCATTCCCACAGCTGTTTCCTGTCCCCTGTTGCTATAGCTCCGGCTTCAACTTCTTGCGCCCATGGTCCCTTTTAGCCGAGCCGTGGGTTTTTTGGGATCCTGGGTATATAAGTATACGACTCAAACACGCCCCGTCCTGAATGGTGGTGACAGTATTGTGAATCACAGCGTGTAACACTGGGAAGGGTGGTACTGCGGAGGAGCGCAGAGCGGGGAGGGTACGCACGGGGCTTGGAGGCATGGATACTTTTGTGATCTCTGTAGGGGGTGGGGGTTTACACCAGGACCTACGCGGCCCCTGAAGAAGAGTCGTCTCTTGGTGGACCAACGAGCCCTTGAACATTGTGGCTTCTTGTAGCACACGGCCGCCAGCCTCCTCTGTAGGGCAGTGATCCCCCTGGGGTGCTTGCCCACCCACCACCCAAGCAGGCGCCTCTACTCTGCTCTTCCCGTGGCCGGGCCTCCGGGACCTCAGTTTACAGGGACCTCCGTGTTCAGAGCACCAACACAGATGTCGTTTGGTCTTTTCAGCAAGTCCCACCACTCCCCTTCCGCGTCACCCCCCCTCAGTGTGGACACACAGTCAGGGTGGGGTGGGTTCAGGAATCTGACCAGATGGCACCTGAGCACCGAGGTAAAGCTGCGAAGTCCCAGGAGAGCTGCGGGTTGTCAGGGGCGTCACTGTGGATGACTGCAGCCTTTCTGGCGGCTGTTCCCCAGACCCTTAGGGGTGCTACTCAGATGGGACCTGCCCCTACAGCCACAAAGCCAGGTCAGTGTTCTCCGAGGAAGCCACACCGTTCCCAAGTCTTGACTTTAAGGGTTTTGTCACAGCCCAAAGTAGAGGCCCCTGCCCATCCCCTGAGGTCAGATAGTCAGGGGTGGGGGTGGGCGGAGGGGATGGCTCCCCACCACATGATATGCACCCTCCTTTCTGGAAGAGGCAACTAACCTTCCGGACCTAAACCATGGTTTGTCCTCTCAGTGTCATCTAAAGCTTGTCGCTACCTGGTCCCTGCTAGGGGGCAGTGGTGGTGCCATGCTCCGCCTTCATGGCAGAACCCAGGGCGCAATCACACTGCCCGAGACTCAGCTCCATTTCTGTAGCCTTCCTGGGCTCGGAAGCCCGGCTGGGCAGTGTTGGTGGTATCTCGGTAAGCACAGAGCACGAATGCCTTCCAAGCAGTTGGCCCGTGTTCAATTCCTGCCAATGCAGTGGGCAGCCGTTTTGAAACCCTGGGGGGGACTACTAACCTCTAGGACGGTGGTTCGAACCGACCAGGCGCTCTGTGGAGAAAGTTGAGGCTGTCTGCTCCCATCAAGAGAGGACAGCCTGGGAACCCTGTCCAGTCTGTCTGTGAGTTGGGATGGACGCGGTGCAGGAGCCCGGGTGGTGAGCATGGCTAGCAATTGGCTGCCAACCAGAAGGCTGGCCGTCTGAACCCACCCAGCGGCCCTGCGCACGCAAGGCCAAGTGTCCTGCTTCCGTGAAGCTTCAGCCAGGGTAAGCTCCTGGCGCTCGCTCTGTGAGCACGTGGGGTCCCTGTGACTCGGGGCTGACTCCCGCCCGGCGGCGGATCGGAACCAGTGTGACCAGTATCTCCTGCCTTCCCACAGTGCCCTTGGCTGCTGGCTCTCAGCCACAGGCGCTCAGGCGCGTGTGTGAGCGATGGCCTGGTAGACCAGAAACTTGGAGGCTGGCCGGGCTCTTGCTGAGACTGGACCATCTGAGGGGTGGTTCTGCGGAAGCTTCTCAGGAGCCCTGTGCCAAGGGCAAGAAGGGATCTTTGCTGGACTAAGGCCAAGGACCCTTGCAGGTGGGCAGGAGAGGAAAGAGAGCCTCAGATTGGGGCGGGGGCGGGGGCGGTGAGGACAGGAGGCCACGACAGGTGTCTGCTTCTTTCCCAAGGAAATAAGAGGGGACATGAATTGGACCTGCTTTTCTAAGCCCCCGGGCTGGGCAGTGAGCTCACGGGCAGGAAGGAGGCCCCTTAGCGGTTACTCAGACGTCCTCCGGGAGGCCGGGTACCACAGTCCTGAAGCTCTTGGCTGGTAACCTGAAGGGCCGTGGTTTAGTCAGTCAACCCCGGCCCCCGAGTCTGCTCGTGTGAAGACCACTGACTGGGAAACCCTAAGGACAGCTCCGCTTTTCTCTCTGCCTCGACATTCTGTCCAGAGACAAGTCGACTCTCAGCTCCAGAGGGGGGACTTAGTTCTGTTGGGCAGAAAAGGAAAGGCCGGGAGCCATGCTCGGCCAGCAGAAGGGTCATGGGCATGTTTACTTCTTTATTTTAAATTGTACTCATGTTTGTTTCTTCATGAATATTTATACAAAGGCACTTAGTTCAGAGAGACCATTTATTAAGTCAAGCGGGACAAGGGTGAGATAACCACGAGACACACCATCTGGATGGGGAAGACGATGATTAGCCCGGTCATACTGGTGTCCAGGGGTTTGCCGAGAAACCGAGCTTTCAAAGGATGCGGAGGGCAAAGGAAACTCACAAACACATGGCCCGTGGCAAATCAAAACATCCTACTTACCAAGGGGCTCCCAAAGAGAGCCTGGGACACACGCGTACATCTTGTCAGACAGGGGGCTTCCAGGATTGGGCATCAGGGCACACAGAGGGCTCGCCCACCCCTGAAGCCTCCCGTAGCACACCGGCCCTCTCACAGGTTAGGTTAGGCAGGGGAGGGCAGCCACAGAGCGCGGTGCTGCTTGGTCAGCCTCTGAAGAAGAGTCCCTTTAAGGTAAGGAGTAAAATTGTTTAAAGCCCTGAGCACCATGGCTGAGCGGTCTTCGCTTTGAGTGCATTCCCCTTGAGGTGGACGCAGAGGGCAGCTGGCTGGAGGACATGGTTTCCTGACTCATTCGCTGCATGAAGGTTTCACAAGCCCCCACCCCACACACACAGTGCAGAGACCCCACTTCCTCTCGGCAGCACGACGTGGCCATCTCGGAACAAGAGGCGGCGGCACCGTTGTCAACACTGGGCACCATCAGACGCAGAGCCCGAGGGACTCGCCTGGTGCTCAGGTGCCACGTTCTCTAAACTTCTCTTTAAAGGAGGGTTTGGATCATTAAAATCGCAATGGGCCTCATTTTTTTAATGAGAATAAATGGCTTTTGTTTGGATGAGAGGCAGCTCTGGGCTCCGTGTCAGCTCCCGTGGGGTGGTGTTTGCTGAAAGACTCACTGCTCCATCCTCGGCCCGCAGTCAACTCTTCCAGCTGCAAATGCCTGCCTCCAGGCTCTCCCGTCAGTGCCTGCCTGTTCACGGCGCTCAGCCCCTCAGCGATGGCCGGGCTGCCAAGTGGCCTTTGCTGGTTCCCAAGACGTGCTCGCCCTGGGCTGTGTTTGGGACGTGTGGACTGGCAGCTCTTGCCGTGAAGGGGCCGGTGCCAGGGAGAGGCCACTGCTCAGCAGGAATAAAGACAAGCTGAGGCATGTCCCCGCTTCACCAGAAGCTGATGTTGGCCCACGTCCAGAGCCCATGGCAGCTGGTCCAGGGGGACCTCCTTCATGCCTTCCAAGACCAAGGTCCCCTCTCCATGGTGGGCATTCTAGGAGCGATTCACCCCCGGCCGAGGGGTTCAGGGCCCAAGTCCACCCCCTGGAAATGTTTGGCCTTCCAGCTGGGCAGCTTAGATTCTCTTCCTGGGCTTGCCACACGTGCACAGGGTATCTTGGTAAGGCGGTTTTCTTACCTGTCAGCTAAGTTCCAGAGTTCTTCTAGCCTCATTTCTTGTGAGTGGGTGTCTGTCCCTCAGCGCCCGGAAGCCCTGGCGCACCTTCCAGGGCCGGGTTCGAGGCCCTGCGGCATCCACTCCCAGGTGCTCCCCGGTGTTACCTGGGGGCCCTGGGCCAGCTTTCCATCCCAAGCTCCAGGAGCCTCGCGCCACAGCCTTTCTCCCGACTGCGCAAACGCAAGCGGCCGTCGGGGCCACCTGTGCGTCTTTGCCCTGCGCGCACTCTATGGTCAGCCGCAGGCCCCGGACAGACAGAGTGGCTGTACATGCTTGGAAGCGTCAGTCCGACAGCTGAGCGCCACTCTGCGTTGGAGGGGATTCCGCACCTGCGGGCACCCAAAGGAGGGTGGTCTCCGCCCACAGCCAAAGTGGCTGCCGCTTGGTGGCACGGGGCTGGGTCTTTGGGCCCGGCCCAGCGGCTACCTGGTTGGGGAGCTTGCCGGCAGCTGCCCTCCGGGGGGCCCTGCGTGGGGCCGGCCTCAGCGGCAGTACTCCCGCTCAATGCTGGCCATCAGCTCCTCCTCGGAGTAGTCGTACACGATGGGCGGCTGCCCCTCAGGCCTCTTGCGACAGCTGCTTGGGGTCCTGTGGATGGTGCGCGAGGACAGGGGCGTTAGAGGGTAACCGTGTCTCCCAAACGCATCATCCCAACTGGATAGCCACCAGGACCCTTTATGGACCTCGGAACCACCCAACATCCCAATCCCCAAACCTCTGCCAGTTGCCCAAGGCCCGAGCTCACCTTCTGAAGCGCTCAGCCTGGCGGCGAGTAAAGCAAGGTTCGCCCACGACCTTATCTGCTAAGACCCTGCACCCGAGTGGGCAGCCAGGCCACACAGTGCTCAGGAAGTGGGCTCTGGGGGCGGCGACAGGGGTTCTATCCCAGGCCGCCCACTTGCTAGCTCAGTGACCGTGGCAGGATCATGTACGCCCTGGGCATAGTCCTTGTCCTCCTCCATTGCTCTAAAAGGGGGCTGTTAAAGATGCTCTGTGCACACTTTGTGCACAGCAGCGGGGCGACTGCTGGCACGCGCTCACGTGGACTGGAGCATGGCACGCCGCACAAGCCCTTGCTGCCCGTGAACTAGTAGACCTCGCGCCTTTGCCTGATTCGGTCCGGCCCCCATCTCTCTTGGGAGCTTCATAGGGGGCGGGACAGGTTGGGTGTTTGGGGGTTCCTGTCTACTCCCTCAAACAGCCGAGATGGGACCTGGAGCAGAGTTCCCGTTTCCTGCTGCCCGAGCCCCTGAAAGTGAGCGTGCACTAGTCTGGACGCTGTCCGCCCATCCTCTTGGGCCAGACCCCCTGCCACCCTCTGCATGGGAAGAGGGAGCTGGGTCCGGAAACTAGGGTGAAGCCTGGAGACAATGGGAGTTGTGGAGGTTTCCGGATGTCGCTGGAGGCAGCAGTAAGCACACAGCGGCTTCTGGAGTGGAGACGCGCGTCCCTGTACTTACTCTGTGGGCCTGCCGCTTTCCCGGCGGTCCTCAGTGTCCTGCTTTGGGGCCGCCTGGAGGAGGAGGAGGAGGAGAGGAAGAGGTGTCAGCGGCTGGTCAGTAGGGCAGCCTGCCGGACATCCGTGCCAACAGACAGGTGCTCCACCACCTGGAGTGCTGCCTCCGGCCCTTCTAGTGACACTGCACCTGACAGGGGGGAGGGGGGGGCGCATTCCCAGAGCTCACAGCAAGAGCATGGGGCAGAGCCAGAAACAGAGTCCCTAGCTCTTGGGGGGGGTGGGGGGGGGCAGGGTTTTTCAAAAGGATACCGCTGCAACTGGTACGTGATCATGCCCCAAACGTGGTGCTGGGGGTGAGTGTTGGTCCACTCCCTGTGTGCTCAGGAGTCCAACCCTCAGGAGAGCGAGAGGGCCGCCTGCTCCCACAAAGACGTGCGTCACAGAAACCCTACACCAATTCCTCTGGTTCCTTGAGGCTTCCTCACCCCCCACTACCATGACCCCAGTGCTGCTGCTCCATTCAGACTAGACTGGAACATGTACACAGGTATAGATAAGAGATGGGAGCTCACGACCCACAGATTCCGGGAACAGGAGTGCGAGGAGAGAGGAAGGGAGAAAGGGGGAACCGATTGCAATGACCTACACAACCATACACCCCTCTGGCGGTGGGGGGGTGGGGGAGAACAACCAAAAACATGGGGGAAGGGAGACACCAGTAGGTGTGAGAGATGAAAATAAAAACAATGTGCAATCTATCAAGGGGTTATGAGAGTGGGGGGGGGAGCGGATACCAAGGGCTCAATAGAAAGCAAACGTCTAGAAAAGAATGAAGGCAACATATGTACAAACATGCCTGATGCAAGCGATGTATGGTTGTGACAAGAGTTGTAAGAGTCCAAATATATATATATATAAATATAAATATCTATACTGAGTCACTTCAATAGCAAAAAAGAAACCTTACATGAGGGACTCTGGATCACAATCCAGGCATGCCCGCAGGGAATCTGGCACATTACTTAATCTCTGTGAGATTCTGCCCTCAACCTCGCCCCCCACCCCCCCACCCCCGCCAAGCCTCTACATAATACAAGGTGGGGACACATGGGGCAAAGACAGGAAGTGTCCAAATAAGGGAACTGTAAGTTCTGGTGCGGCAGGAGCTGGGCTGGCCATCACATGTCCCCGGTGCTGCCAGAGCCTGGTACCAAGCAGGGGCTCTGTGGGTAGGTGCTGGATGGAGGTGGGGATGCGTGTCCCAAGTGAGGGTCAAGGGAGACTTCACATGGTGGGGGTGACTCAAAATCCGTGCGTGACACACATGCGTGCGCACACAAACTTTCCTCTTCCAAACGTTGGAAAATGATGGTTTGGTTGGACACCATGTGGGGGCAGGGCAAACAGAGCTGTGACTAGGCCTCATACACCAGGTAGCTAAGCGGTTTCTCACGGGCACACGGATGAAGAGTCCTGAAATGGCCATGCCGGTGATGAACACATTAGTGCATAGAGGGAAGGTAGTAGGAGTCAGGGTTCTCACTGTTGTTGGAGAACAGATTTGAACCAGGAAAGTCAAGGGGACGGCTGAGGTGACCTGTATGGGACTGGGTTCTAGTGGGAGACACTGTTATGAACTCATGCCTGGGATCCACACCCCCACCCTGCTCTTTAGGATGAGGATGCTGTCTTTAGAAAGGTTTATAAGCAGAGCATGGTTAATGCAAGTGAGCAATTTACAATTATGACAAGTGGCACTGTGAGCAGTTTCATTTATGATGATGTTTCCTACAGCGAGCAGGTAAGGCAGCTTTACACATGAGACTATGTATCGAGTCTCATTCTCGTGAATGGGTTTGGATATGGATCTCTCCCAGTCAGTTGGCCAGGAAGCTGTCTTCCAAATGTCCTGGCACAGATGAGTGAATGCGTCCACTGGTCCACTGAAACATTTCAGTGGGTACCCTGTCCGTTCCTGGAGCCTTGGTTTTGGTTCGTGCTTTCAATGCAGCTTGACCTTCCTCCCTCAGCACCATTGGTTCTTGCTCCTATGCTGCCTCCTGAAATGGTAGAATGTCGATCAGTTCATCTTGGTACAACGATTCTGTGTATTCTTTGCATCTTCTTTTGATGTGTTTTGCATTGTTCCGTCTTTTAATACTGCAACTTGAGGCTTGAATTCTTTCTTATTCAGTCTGTATGCTGAGCGACTCATCCGAGACGCTGCAGCATATGAACAGAATGGGGCATCCGGATTGCAGGGAGGCTTATTAACCACTGGGATATGCGGACGACACACCTGCATGCTGAAAGTGAGGAGGACCTGGAGCACTTGCTGATGAGGATCAAGGACGGCAGCGTCAGTGTGGACTAAGACTCAGCGCAAAGAAGCCCCCATCCTCACATCATGATCGAAGAAGGAAAGGTTGGCGTTAAGGACTTCATCTCGTTTGGAGCCACCGCCAGTGCTCACAGGAGTAGCGGTCAAGAGATCAAACACCAGATTGCCCTGGGTAAGGCTGCCGCACACGACCTCTTTAAATGTTGAAAAGCGGGAGGGAGGGAAAAAAAAAGGAGCTGATACCAAAGGCTCAAGTAGAAAGTAAATATTTAGAAAATAATGATGGCAACATATGTACAAATATGCTTGATAACAATTGATGTATGGAATGTTCTAAGACAGTGGTTCTCGACCTTCCTACTGCGGCGACCCTTTAATACAGTTCCTCGTGTTGTGGTGACCCCCGTGTGTGGGCATATCTGCATGTGGGCAGACCTGCCTGGAGACAGAGGAGCAGTGTCTCAGGTCCTAAGACCATCAGAAATATGGTTTCATGAAAGGGTCGTTTGAACCCCTAAAGGGGTTGCGACCCACAGGTTGAGAACCACTGTTCTAAGAGCTGTAAGACCCCGCCCTCAATAAAATGATTTTTAAAAATTGGAAAGCGAGGATTCCTTTGAGGTGTTTCCAGTTGCCTCCTAGGACATGAAAGGTAGACACTGAAGAAGGAAGACGGAAGAGGAATCCCTGCATTTCAATGACGGTGCCGGCAGGGACTACCGGAAGTACCGTGCACTGCCAAAAGAACAAGCAAGTCTGTGTCCTGGCGGCGATGAGTGGGCTCGGAGAGAAGCCCAGAGTCCAGTCAGTTAATGGGAACGTCCCACTGCGGGTTTCTCAGTTAAGACAAACATCCTATAGTCATTTAAGAGGTTCACTGTAGGGGGAGAAAGGGGGAGGGGGCAGGAGGGCCTCTGCACCATCTGGATAATTGTCTGGAAACCTAAAACTCACACAAAAAGAGCTTTGAAAGAAGGCGGCGGCTGTGGAGGCATCACAGAGGCCCGGCTCCGTGTGCCGGGGGCCAAGTCCTGCCAGTGCAAGCTCACCTAGCACGGCGCCCTGTCGGTCACACGAGATTTCCCGATGTGTTGCAGCCTTCGCGAAGCCGTTAGGACAGGCAGAGCAGTTTGCCATAACTCTACCCCACTTACAGAGACCCTGTGCTTCACAGAGGAGAGGAGAAGCCCCTGGTCATACCGCATCAGCTGTACTGCTGGGGCTGGAAGTCAAGCCTTCCCATTCTAAACCGGAGGCCCCTGCTGCACTGGGTAGCCCAAATCCATTCTCTTCTCTGAGCCCTGGCATGTGATTCCGGTTGATGAGAGAAACAAATCCAGGGACACTCGTATGTGTACGAGACAGTTTTATGTCAAAGAGTAATTATATATTAAGAAAACATCCCAGCCCAGTCCAGATCAAGTTCACAACTCTGATATTAGCCCATATGTCTGATACCAGTCTATAAATTCCTCTTCAGACTCACACAACACATGCTATGATGCCGAACATCACAAGTCTCTGGGTGGAAAGTCTTGTGGATCCAGTGGCGGTGGAAACATCTCAGCGGTGGCGTGGCTCCTCCAGCTCCAGGGCTCTGGCTCCATCAGTTTAGCTCCATGTGGCTTGTCAGCAGGAATGTAAAGCAGAGTGTGGTCCTCCTCCCAGGAGAAAAAAAGGAAGTTCCCAGAATCCTCCTGGTGGGTGTTACCTTGTGACCCGATTGACAGGCTAAACTCCAACCCTTTGCTCTTAATTTCCACAAGTTGACACAAGATTGTGTAACTATCACACCTGGGTTGCCTGTCTGTAAAGTGATGTGGGGAGTTGATCCAGACCACTCAAACACTGTCCACCAAGAGGCCTTTCACGGTACTGAGTGGGGGGTGCACCGTGATCCCAGGGCAGAGGACCTCAGTCAGCTGCAAGCTCGAATTAAAAAAATTAAATATGATGCTTCATCTTAAACTTTTTACGCCATATTTGAATTAAACTCTGTGACATGTCCATTTCACTTTAAAATACTTTCCCCCAAATCTGTTCACACACCCCTCCAAACAGCTTTGTATCTGCATGTATCCTGGAGGGAGACGAGGCCACCTGATCTGGTAGGGATTTTCAGTCTGGGCCCCTCTAAGGAGCGGTTCCACTGTGGCCACCGTGGGCCGGGACTGACCAGATGGCAGTGGGAACAACACAAACATTGTTCTCAAGTGAAAGTCCAACGGTGCTCCCCAAAGTCGTAGGCACTCCCTAGTGAGGCAGGCGCCCGGCCGCCCCCTGGGCTGGGAGTTGTGTGTTTCTCTGACAAAGCGCCATCCGAGGATCCACCCGAGATCCTTCACTGGCCTGGGAAGCCACGTGGTCCCTTACACAGCTCGGGGACCCCCAGAAGATGACCCAGAGGACCCCATGGTTTGGGCACCTGGTTCACTGCCATGTGCCCGTAAGAGCCTCCTGGCTTTGATCCCGGGCGGATAAGCTGCTGGCCGAGTTCCCACCGAGCTCGGACTGCCCAGCCATCTCCTCGAGGCCTACTATTCTGAAAAGCACATCCGAGCAGCTCGGTCCCTGGGCCCATCTCCAGAGAGCCTGACTTAACTGGTCGGGATGAGCCTCAGATCTAGTTGGGGTTGTTTTAGGCTTCAGGTGATTCTCCCGTGTGGCTGGGGCTGGAGCCCGCAGGTCTAACAGGGACCGGCACACAGACACAACTG